TTTGTTCCATTAATAAATCCATAATTGTAAGATGAAAAAAATTACTACAAACCTCACTACAAATACACAAATCACATTAAAATGCAGTGGGAATGTAGAAATAAATTCTGCACTGAAAGAATTCAAATATTCTTTGGGAAGAGAAAGCAAGAGATATACACTTGAGTACTGTGTGTGGTTTTGGGCTCTCCGCTACAAGAGAGAGATTACCATGCTGCACTGAGTGCAGCAGAAGACCGCCAAAGATGGGCCGGGCGCTGGAGTCCGTGGCACACGAGGAGAAGCTGCAGGGGCTGGGCTGGTCCAGCCTGCAGGAAAGAAGGGTGAGAGGGGATGTTTTGGGGTCTTCCACTACCTTATGAGTGACCACAGACAACACACAGCTGGACTCTTCTCAGAGGTGCCCAGCAAAAAGGCAGGAGGCAATGGTCACAAGCTGCAGCAGGGGAAATACCAGGCCGACATAAGAAAAGGAAGGTCTTGCCAGAGAGGGTGGTCAAGCACAAGAATGGGTTGCCCAGGGAGCTCGTGGGCTCTCCAGCCCTGGAGATAGTCAGAACTTGCCCGGGCAAGGCCCTGAGCAACTTGATCTGACTTTTGAGTTTTACCTTGTGTGAGCAGGATGTTGAACCTCCATGGGTCCGGTCCTATCCAACCTACATTATTCTGCTGTTCTCCATATAGAGTAGTATGGGAATTCTGGGGTATTTGAGAGTCTATTCCAAAAAACAATTATTTATACAAAGTGGAGTAGCTCCAACAAGAGTGACAGTATATGTTTATACTGTTAGGTTTGCCTGGGACTAATGTTCATGCTTGGGCACTTACCCCTGCTTAAACTACTGGATCGCTAGAACCACCTATATTTTGCCTAACCAGGTCTCCAATCTAGAAGTAAGGCAGCTGGTTTCAAATAGGAAAATCTAGGCACAAGTTTCCATTGTACTTCCACCTGAAAATAATTAAAAGCTTAAGAATATTTTAGTAGGACTGTGCATTTCTTTATGTCCTCAGAGACAGTCTTAATTGCTCTGATCTTTTGCAGGCACTTCAAGTTAAAGTGAATTGAGCAACAGCCAGCATCTTAGCTTGCAGTTCATGCTAAGATTTTTATATAGTTTCAACTGATAAAAACCTCAATCCACAAACTTATCCTCACAGTCAGCACAATTTGCCTACAAGAGTCCAGGCTTGCTAGACTGTTTCCAATTCAGTTAAAAAAGAAATCTTTTTTTTTTTTTTTTAACTATGCTAAACTTAGGATCTGTCCACAGAATGGAATTCAATGCTGTTTTAAACATCCCTACGCTAGCTCTGTGCAGTCTTGTACATTTATACACCTGACCATAATATTGCCCAGAGATGTTAGCAACTCTTTCAGAAGTAACATAGTTGAAATAGCACAGTTTGTGCCTGAGCTGTTCAGAAAAATGGATGACTATATTCACTTCTCTGAAATCATAGGCAGTCTTGCAATAGGTATATAGCTCAGAGTAATTCACCGTATACACAACTTTCCCAGCAGTTTGTATTGAATGTGTTAAGTATAACAAGTCTTCATATGCCACAGCCATGGCATTTTACGAGACATCAAGGGCACTTCTATGTTTCAGACTCCCTCAGATTTGCTAAATACGGGTCCCAGGTGACCTCAGAAGTGGATAACAGCATGGGATCTCAAGAAGGGTTAGAAACCAAAAAAAAAAGAAAACACTTTATCAACCCTTGCTAAGCTGTTAGGGAGTGCCTGAGGAGAGAATTTGGTCCCGATCTTAAATCCAGCAGTCAGTTTATCTATGAACATATAAGCAAAATACACCACCTGGTGCCACAAGAGTGCAGGAACACCTTTTCTTCTTGTTTTATCTGTGGTCAGTCTGCAGTAGCTCACAAGAAGTGAGCTAAATTATGGGCTGAGGGGCAGAAGTTCTTCATCTCCCAATCATTCTCTGCCCTGCCTCCAAACAGGACCAGCAGAAGTCCCAAGCAAAGGATTAGTACAATATAAATATAGTGAAAACAAAAAGAAATCTAGCATCCTTTTGGTTAGGAGAGCTAATCATTTTGGGCGTAATACTGCAGTGGCACTGCTATACTGTTGCTATTTCTAGAAAAGTTCAGCCAACTCTAGCTTTGGGATTATTTAAAAGAAAGCCCAAAGCAGGTGTTTGTATGATTTTCTTGAACACTCTTAGGTCCTCTACATGATAAATGGTTGTGCAGAAAGTAGCATTAGGGTGATTCACATGCTAAAAAATGTCCCAGACCAAATACAGGGCCAAAGCCCTCACTTTTTTATGGTTTATGCTTTTAGCAAGCAGCCAGAGACATAGTTCTTGGCTGATACTTTGTATGCTGCACAGTTTATCACAATATGGTGTGTTAAACTGGAAATTCCCATTTCCAAAGAAATAGCAATAATGAAAAGGAGCTCTATACTTTCAGAGTCACCAGCAATAACATTGCTTTCCTTTTTTTTTACAAGGTGATGCCTTCTAGCACCCAGCCTCGTGCGTGTGTGTGTGCATCCGTATGTGCATGCATGCCTCCCAACAGATGACTTATTTCATGAGGAAGGAAAAAAAAGGAGAAAATGAGGAACTTTCTTCTGCCATTATTACCTTTATTTTGCATCAATTCACTATATAGAAGTCATAGCCATGAATCAGCATTACACTGCACTAAGCACTGCACAGACTGAAGAAAAAATATTCCCTCTGCCTCAAATCTGATATAATTTGAGCCTGGAGGGCAAATGACAGTGAATGCTACAGTATCTTGGCCAAAAATGTAAACATCTGCAAATACATTCGGTTCCAAATCCTGATATCTTCGTCAGGTTTCAGTCAGTCCTTGCTTGAAGAAAAAAAATACTCCTATTGCCTTCAGTGAGAATCCTTATCTAAATGAGGATGGAGTTAATCTACCTTCCCTCAAATCCCACACAGCATGTGAACAAAATCAGGGCCATTTGTCTTGCCTGTCCATGAACATGTCTGATAGAACTTTTCTTTAAGCACTAGAAAGCAGCTTAAGTAATTTACACAGAAAATAAATTGTTTACATGCACCAAATTGTAATCAGAGCTGGATATATAATAGGGTGCAAGGTAGAAAATACTGAAATCAACAGACTAGGAAATAACTGTGAGTTGGAGTGAATGATGGAGGAGAAAGAGCCCTTTATTGAATAAATATAAACAAGGGGAGACAAAACTCGGTCAGAGAAAAGTTACTAGAGAACAGTGGTGTAAATAAGCCTTTGTGCAACATGTAAAGGAAAAACAAATAGCTCTATGAGCAGAGAGCTAATGAAGCCAGGTTCCCTATTGATTTCTGTCCTCTGGCTGCTGCCTGAAGTACAATCTCTGACTAAAGCTTTCGCTGCCAGGGGAACATTTTATGAGGCCGCTCTCCTGAGTGGGCTCCCTAATGAAACACGAGCTCAGACTGCTTATGCAGTAAGAGAACCACAGCTGTTCTTCTTTATCTGCCCACCTACTGTCATGGCTCTTGGAGAAACTTAGTATTTTTATGATTGGACTTCCCCTATTAAATTGTATTGAAAGCAACCAAGGGATTGAAAAACTTTCTAGCAGAGGAGCAGATACATAGATAGATACATTATATGCTTACAAAGCAGGGTCCCATAAGCCTCCATTCCTTTCAGAAAGGGGAAGAAAAAAGGACTGAAAAAATTTAGTAAAATAAAAGTAACATGGCATCAAATAAATTAGATAAGTCATATGAAAAGTGGACCCAGCAACCTTTAAAATGTATAGCCATCCCTCTGCTGCCCTGTGTCCCATTTCACATCCATTTGATCCTACTCTCAGTTACATTAAGGTGGAATCTTAAAGTATAGTTGCCCAGGTCACATGATCATTGGAATTATGATTACTGAAATCAATGAACATACGACAACGTGCATCTTGTGGCAATGTGGGCTATCAATCAGAAGCATTTGCTACCTAAATTAAACATCTTAATAAAGATAAGAATTTTATCTTCTTTAAAAGACAGTATGGTAAATCAATCACTGCAAAATTTTGTTACATTAAAGCAGCACAAGAGAGGAAGTTAACATACGAAATATATAGAGATAGGTAGCTGATCTATACTACAAAGTGAAAATTGCCATATATTGCACATTATGAAAAGGACCTACACTCAAAGAAGAGGCCTACTGCTAACATGCTGAATTAACCTCCTCAGCTGGTGTTAGTCCTCCACTTGCCAGTTTTGCTTCTCTTTCTTTAAAGGGTACCCCCTTCTTTGTAAGTTCACATCTGCAACTATACAGCTTTGGCTCCATGCGCTGCTACAATAAAATCTGCTCCTGCCTGGTCTGGGAATGAAATTTTTGGTTTTCTGGGCTCTGAGAGAAGGCAGGACCAAGCCAGCTGCCAGACTCCTGCAGGGATAAGAATGTTTATTTGGACATTGTGCTAGTGCTGCAGACACTGAGATAAGCTAAAGCATACTGTTTCTATGCCATTGCGCCAAAAGTAACGAAGGGCAAACAATAACTGGTAGCTGCCCACAAAACCTACCCCCGCCCTGCAAACCTGCTCCTCTGGTGGCTACTAGTGCCTTGATAATGCTGCAAGCTGTACAACTCCAGGCTGGTGAGAAGAACGCTAAACCACCTCCAAGCTCTGCGGTCCCTGTTTCCAAAATAGCAGTTGAACATGGACGCAGAAGAAACTGTCTTTTAAAGAACCAGCTCCTCCTTTCGTTGTTTATGAGTTCGGTTTTTTATTGTTATTATGTTAATCTGTGATCACCCAAGCATAGTGAAACATTGCTGAATAAATACTTCTAGCAGAATACGCAGGTAGGAATTCTAGCAACATAGCTGATGCATTTAAAACAGGAAAAGAAATATGCGGAAAGCATAAAATCAGCCTTTCAAGTAGGTCCGGTCATAAGGAACACAGGCTTTTTATGACTTAATAAATTGTAAGGTGAATACATCACATAAATATCAAAACACAGTACCTTGGTTTCCAGCTCAAGATTTTGCAGCAAACTACCTGCATGCTGTGCTCAGATTTCAGGGTAAGAATTTAGACATTTTGTTGCTGGGTCAGGAGGACGGGCTTTGAACTGGCTCCCAGCCCTAAGTAACAGCACTTTCTCTGCTTGCAGAGTTCACCGTTGATCTTGGCCTGAGTATCCACTCTGTCCTCTGGCGTGGTCATAAAGGAATTTTTAAATAGGTATTCAAGATTCAAACTTAGTACATTCATTCCTACAGAGAGCTGCCTTGTCTCCTCATTTACTCTTCACATCAACAGCTGTAAGGAAGTTGGCAGCATAGACTATGTAGGATTCTGAGTGGTTACTTTCTCTGGCTCTCTGGCTCTCTTCCTGAGTCACACATCAGTCAGAGTCTTCTGTATAAACTTATGGTGATTTGTTTATGCATGTACAACTCACTTTATGCTAGATCGAAATCAGGAGAAGGAAAAGATTTGCCTTTTTTTGATTCTAATTTAAGAAAGTGCTGCCTGATGGACAGTTCATATATACTGCTCTCCATTGGCAAACTGTTAATATGGTATTTATATGAAATTGTTTTTTTGGCTGCTATGCATTAGTGGTAATTATGTTACAAACAAAATAATTGGAGTTAGGTTTTTTTATTTTATTTTTGCAAGAATTAAGGAAAAGAAATGGCACCAAATGAATCAGAGTATGGACACCTAATTAGCAGCAATCAAAGCACGGCAGATTATGCAGTTCTTCTCTGTCAGATGAGCTACAGTAATCATCAGTACGTGATCTCACGCTGGCATACAGCTTCACAGCTCACCTCTACCTCATGTCATGCCCAGCAGCCTCACCATCTATCTCATTTATGGCCCTTTTCTCACCCCTCAGGCTGCAAAGCACAAAGATCCTTGTAGGATCTGGCAC